ACATAGATTCAAGGTTATTAGGGTTGCATGTACACTTAGGAAGTGTTAGAATGCTCAAAACCCATCATAAACTTCCGATTTATTAATGTTCTTTGTGATATTTTCTGTGCTCGCTGTATACCTGAGTAAATTTTAGAAAGTAAATCTTTTAATAAGTAAATCTTTGAAATAAAAGCAAAGCAGTGTACTTTGAGTCACACACACAATTATTATTCTTCCTAGAGTTTTTCATACTACAACACTATGGATAACCTTTTGATTATAAATCTTTAGAACACTTTATGTACAGATCTTTCCCCACACATGGATTTCTGAATGTAAGTACATTGTTGGATTTTTTTTCTTCTGTTGCACTAAAGCCTCAACTTTGTTAAATAATATTTTAAATTGTTAATAGAACATTTGGAATGACAAAAAACCTTTTTTAGGTGGGGGAGTTGGACAAATACACTAAGTCATGAATGACAACTTTTGGCAATAAATATCTGAAGTGAAGCCCTTCGTTAACGATTACTTGTTCTTATTGAAAATAGATGGTTGGTCTATATACTAGGTTAAATTCAAGAAATGAAAATTTGCATTTATTTATATACTAGCTTAAATAAGAAAAATTGGAAAATACAATGCTATAATTGGATTAGATTTTCAAAGTACAATGCCTTGATAAGAAACATCATAAGCACAATGCTATAATTGGGTATAACTTTCAAAGTAAAACGCCTTAATTAGCAAAAAGATCAAAGTACAATGCCTTAACTGGATGGAATTTTCAAAGTAGGCCTTAATAAGAAAAAAAATCAAAGTATAATGCCATAATTGAGTAGTATTTTTGAAAATGCAATGCCTTAATAAGATAAAATTAGAAGTACAGTGCTATAGTTGGATAGATTTTTCAAAGAAAAATGCCTTAATAACCTTGCATACTATTTTTTATTTAGGTAAAAAGAATTATAAATTTTTTGAATGTATTGCAAGGTTACATATTTTTGGCATAGAGTTAAATATAGTTCCGAATACATTCGATAAAATAATTAATTTATATATTATAATGTTAAACGTTTTTAATAATTATAGTGCATTTCAATTTTTATGCTATGGTAATTAGACCATAATTTAAATAAATAGACAAGAAAAATAGTAGTAAAATAGATGGGAATATGAAGAATAATTGCGAAGGGGGTAAATTTGGCATTTAGGTGGTAAGAAAATGAAGGCCCTGATACCACATATTTGGCTAACCACATTTTCTTTTCAGGTAAGTTCTTATTCTAGCTAGACTTAAAAAGGGATTTTGGGGCTGTGATTTCTGAAGAGGACTATCCAGTTCTTGAAGCACAAGGTAATAAATCTTAACCTCTTGTAATCATTGCTTGGAATAAAGTTAGGGTCTTGAGCTTGTGTTATTATACGACGAATGAGGTGGTGTTTCTTTTTGTCTTAATGGACTTAATGTATATAAAACATATATATTCAGATATATGTAGTTGTTTCTTTTTTACTTAATAGATAAAACAGCTCATAATCAATAAATTGGAGATGTGGTGGGTTTATACATTCAGATTGTATTTATTCCATTTTTACATCCAGTTCTTTCCAAAATTTTCCCACCGTGCTCATAAATTTGTAGGACTTAACGGAAGTGGTTTAAATCATCATATATATGTTAGGAATAAGTATTTTTATCTAAACTATTTGGATGCAAGTATGTCTTTTTGCATGTATATGGTTATTGCAGAATGTGAAGGCGGTTTTTGATGCAGCCATTAAAGTGGTTCTTCAGCTACCAAAGCAAAAGAAGAAAAAGAAGCGAAGGGCTCAAAAGGCGTGCTCCATTAATTCTGTAACTTTGTGCACAAGATTTTTAGTATGAATCGAATGGAAAAATGGGAAGAAAGTTTGACTTTTCAATGGTGAATGCTCAAGTGTTGATCACCCAGGCCTTTATATAGTTTTTGATGAATTTGCTCACTTTTATTGTGTCTTTGTGTTGTGTAAGTTGATATATGTAATTCTTTAACACCAAATAGTTGAGACTTTGGGGACTATTTGGGTAATGTATAATATGGTTTTATCTTATGTAGATTGTGGAAAGATCTTGATTTTAAGAGGGTTGAAAATGAAGTTACTTTTGAATGGTTACTATATGCTTAGGGTTTGGTTTTGCAGATTCTGATGGAACTATAATTGGAGATTCGTTCCATGGGATTAATGTGGAAAAGCAAATGGAGAGCATCCCATGTAATTTAGTCTCATGGTTCTTCATTATATGCATATGGCCTTTTTTTTTCCTAGGTGTCCCACGTTTCCCTTGTAGCTGAATTTCTCTCTATAGAAATAATGTCGACAGGTTAAAGGAGAGTTGCTTTCTCAAAACCATGATTACCTTTTTATAGGAAACATGAAACATACAAAAGTGTACTGTATTTTAAAGAAGAAAAAGTTTAGATGTATTGATTTTGAAAATATTAGACTGAACTTAGTAAACCGAAACCCTATTAAACCGATCCAAATAACCCCTTGCCTGGTAAAAAAGAGGGAATTTGCCATTGCACAAATTGTCTTCCTTAAGTTGTGAATCATGAATTTCAGTAATTTAAATAGTGTTGATATCCCCTAATGCAAATGAATGTTCCCTAATTTATGTGACATCTTGCTTAGATTTCTGCATATCAACAAATGCATTCAGTGATTTAGAAAAAAAAAAGAAAAAGAAAAAAAAAGAACACCCTCTTTGCTTTGATACCAGGTTTATTAACACAGGAATAAAAGTCATGTATATGATAGAAGGAGGAATGCATTCAACAATGAAAAAACTCAGCTAAATGAAACAGGTATTCCAAAGAGATGCTTGATTATGGTAAATATTTTCCCATACAAGACAATTAATGCTAGATTGCCTAATCCTTTCACTCCTAACCCAGCTAAGAAGACTTGACTAAAATAAAAAGATTCAACCAGGTGAGAGAAAAAACTAAATTGAACAATACCAAAATTTGGGTAAAGAATACCAACAGACATTGTACTAGATAGCAAACAGACCAATTATTATGTACTAAACATTCATGGTGTGAAGTAAAATGTATTAATCATCATTCTCGGGCACACAAGAGGACATTTTCCTTCCATTAACTATGATCTTCAGTTCATAGTTTCCCATATCATCTTGCTCCTGTCGAAATTGTCGAAGGGATTCAAGAAGAGAAGCACCACAATTTAAAACATCAATATAACTAAGCGTTGAGATGTCCCCTAATTCAAGGGATATCTCTTCAAGATCAATGCAATTCACCACCTCTAATTCTTCAAGACATGGAAAGTTGATACTTGAGGCCTCCCATTGTTTGATATTTAACTCTTCAAGTCTCAAGAATTTTAGTCGCTGAAACTGCTCCTCACCTGTTTCCCATATGGTTCCCTCAAAGCCATTGTCTTTTATTACAAGAAACTCAAGATTTGGTAAAGATTGAGTAATCGACATGTCGCTCCACGGTAGACCACACCTTTCAAGTGTAAGTACTTTCAGTGTTGCAGGGAGCCTAATGTTATTCTTTCCCAAGTTTGGTTCACTTCTGAGAAATTCTTGCTCAACTTGTTCTAATAATGAGGGTTCGAAGATTCCATAAATTGCATATTGATGGTGGGAATGATGACAGCCAAATTTCTAGGAACCTTAAGTGAACAAGTAATGCTAAACTATTTTTCTAGACTTAACACCCTAAGGAGTGCAAAGGAATGGAAAAACTCTTCAATATGGTAAATGAAGGATGGTCTTGCATGATAGCACAAAAACGATTGAATACTTGGGGTAGACGGACGAGACAAACTCACAATATCGGTTTTTTGGTTTGTGATCACACGGCGTTGCTTATGTGTGGTAATTACCTCACAGAGATGATGTTTTGATGGTGGCCAATCTGTTTTCAGGAAGAATTTTTCTTCTTTTTCTTTTTCCTCACATAGCTTCCTCACAAGATCATGGACTTTACAAACTTCGACATCACCTGAAATATACCATTTTTCTACCATGATAGGATTTCTGTCAACTAGATCCGTCAGTTGCAAAGATCGAGCAAAATCAAGAACATATCACGATCAAACCCCAGGGGTTTCAAAGTCTTTTTTCTAGTAGAAGACACTCCAGATAATTAATCATCAAGTTGCAAAGATCAAGCAAAATCAAGAACATATCATGAAGCACAAATGAAGCTAAGATTGAGCCATAAATTAAATTGCAATCTTGTTCTACTTTTATGGGTTAAGTTTACTCTGAAATGGTGTCCTCTTTAAATGTAATTGATTAACGATATTTTTATTGTCATTTCTTGTTAGGTAAAATATGAAAGGTTGAAAACATGTGGCTATGCATGTGAAATAAAAGAATCAAATTCAAACTGAAAGTTGGGAAATAAGTGGTGCATTCAACATGTTCAAACTTGAAGTTGGTAGACTTTAAATTGGTTACAACTCTTTCTG